GCTTCTAGCAATTTGGCGCCTAGGATCCGATCCAAGATGGGAAAGTCCTTTGCATTGTTGAACTCTTTTCCATCTTCCGAGATGTTGCAACGATTGATCCAACGAAACACGATGCTTTCATCATTCTTGGCAAACTTGCAAACCCCACTGAACACTGCGTTTCGGAAACTCCGGCATTTTGCTGCGTCTTGAGGCAAAGCAGGAATCTTTAGATAGTCATACTGTTTGATACGCATTAGGCGTTTCTCTCGTTTGTAGGGGTCCTCCGAATCGCTTGATGAACCATCTCCACTTGGGGATTTTGGTGGTGAGTCTCGGCCCCCTCCAGGGTTTCTGTTTGAACCCTTTCCTTTCGAGTCACTTGAAGAGGATGAAGAACCACTTCCTGGCGGCGATCCGGGGACTTTGCGGCGGTCTCTTGATCGGTTCGATGATGGCTGATTGCCCGATTGCACAGGGTTTGCCGTCAATCCACCAATCAATTGCTGCATTTGAATGGTCAACTGATGCACTTGCATTTGCAAGCAGTGTTTTGGTCACTTTGATTTGAAGTCCGATCTGATCGTTTAGCAAGGCAGCGGGAGGCAACATTGGGTTAGCCTTTGGTATCTCTCCTGCGCAAGCGGACTGAGTTGGTGAAGGTGCCAAATGCAGCTCTTCACCATTGGTTCCTGTGGCGATGGGCGTCAATGCGAACGAAGGCAACGCGACCCGCGACTCTTGCATTGGTTGACCCTGGAATGCGACCGTGCCAGGATGGTAGGATTTGGGAGTTGCAATACTATGTACCACCGGAACCAATTCACCCATTCCATGAACTTTCATTGATGGACTCGGCTGACCAACACTTTTAGGGTTTCTATCAACGACCGAGGTTGCCTTTGGCGGCGGACTGCAAGGATGGATGATGCTTGGATCCCCTGGAGTTCCGCTCCTTGCAAGGGATTGCAATCTTTCATCTTGATCCTTGATCCTCCTCATCATTGCTTCCATTTGACCCCTCATTTCATTCATCTGCCTGGTGGTGGACTCCAATGCTTTCTCTCTTTGGTTCAATGCACCGGTCACTTCAACCACCTGGTTCGTGCGATCAATCACTAAAGCCTTCAATTGCTCAATTCACCAAACGGGTAGCTTGACCTTGGGTTTGACGGACCAGTTCATGGGCTTCTTCTTGAGACTGCTGAACCATGCTCCTGGCAGTGGATTCTACCGCCTGGATTTGAGATCTGGCTTGGTTTTCAATGGATTGAACTTGACTCTGGATTTGGGCTTGAGCATTCGATTCAATACCCTGGATCTGCTGAAGGGCTTGGTTCCTAAACTGGCTCTCCATTGCTTGGACATACTGAGCAGTCTAGTTCCTAGCATTGGCTTCAACTTCAGAGGCGTATTGAATGGCTTGACCCTGCACTTCGGACACGACCTGGTCAGCCTGAGCTACTACCAGAGGGTTCAAATCCAAGAGATTGACTGATCTGGCATCGGTGAAATGAGACGACTGGTTGCTTTCGAACACAATCTGTCTTGCATCAATATGACCTATGGTCGGTTGCTGGTATTCAACATCCGTCCTTGCTGTTGGGTTTCCTTGATTACTTTGAACCATCGATGAGTGAGATGTTTCTGTCAGGGATGACAAACTCGTATCTTGGATAGGAGTTGCAACGGCTTCCCCAAACATGACAATCTGTTCACTCTCCGGTGAACCATGCGCACTTCCTCCTGATCCCTCCATCGCTTCTTTTCAAAGATCAAACGACGTCTACTCGGCTGCAATGAAATTCTCAACTGCCTCCTTCGTCCAGCCGTCGCTCAACCAATTGGCGTATGGATACGCAGATCCGCTGTCCAAGCTCCTCTTCCGTGAAAGCTTAATGTGAATCCTGTTGCCCTGTCGGTGGCCAAAGTGGCTTCCAACTCAGATAGGATATCAGCACTGTCGTCGATCAAACAACAAGACAAGTGATCTCCCAACCGTTCGGCAAATCTCGAGATAACTGCAGCCTTCCCTGTCGGACCCTCCGGCTCGAACGTACAAATGATCCCGTCAAACAAGTGATGAATCCCTTCGCTGTTGCTCCAAATGTCCTTGCACGCTTGATAGCGCCCCGAACTCCCAATGAAAGAAAGAACGACAACAAATGGAATACGCTCGTGATCCAATGCAAATTGTCTGAACTTCTCAATCGCCTCAATGTTCTCAACTCCCACGCGACCTGTCTGTCTGCAAGTATCGCTGTGATCCCTGTCAAGAACCTGATGGTGATCAACAAAAAGGACCTTAACCTGGCCAATGTCTGCAACTGCTCCCAAATGCACTTCCTGTGACTCCCAACGAGTATAGCTACCCTCCGCTGCCTCAAAGGTAAGGAAATGTACCGTGTCCGGCAGAACAATCGAGACTTGAACTGGCTCTGGCCTCCGCGGCGGTGCCTTTGCAAATGCCTTTGGCGTAAGGCCAATCACAGCAGGCGGTACCGAAACAGCGGGCTCAGGCCTAGGTGGCAGTGCCGAAGCGGCTAACCTATGCGCCTCCTCGAATCGAGCTCTCTACGTTTGAAGAACTTGCTGTTGTTAAGTGGTTTTTTGGTTGCATTTTGGTTGCATTTTGGTTGCCACTGGTTGCATTTTGGTTGCCAATTGGTTGCATTTTGGTTGCCACTGGTTGCATTTCGGTTGCCAATTGGTTGCATTTTGGTTGCCACTGGTTGCATTTTGGTTGCCACTGGTTGCATGTGCCAATTGGTTGCATTTTGGTTGCCACTGGTTGCATTTTGTTTGCCAATTGGTTGCATTTTGGTTGCCACTGGTTGCATTTCGGTTGCCACTGGTTGCATTTTTGGTTGCCACTGGTTGCATTTTGGTCGCCGCTGGTTGCATTTTGGTTGTGGCTGGTTGCATCCTGGTTGTCAATTTTTTGGTTGGCTTGGTTGCATTTTGGTTGCCTTTGGTTGCATTTTGTTGCCATTGGGTTGCAATTAATTAGTCTTTAATATTAATCGCTTCCCACACACGACGCTGTCGGTCCACCTGCCCACAAATTTGACAGTGGCGCGCGCCCGGCGCGCCCGCGAATACATCGTTCCCGTATTCGTTATAGGCGCGCGCTCGGCAATTGACAATCTGTATTTGTAGGTGCGCGCCTATACGAATACATGTCCCGGCGCGCGCCGGGCGCGCGCCCGGCAATTAAAAAATGCATTTGCATTTGCAGGCCCGCGCGCCCGGCCGGGCGCGCCCGGCTATTATTATTTTACATAATCGTAGACGCGCGCCGGGCAATTGAAAATGTATTCGTAGGCGCGCGCCGGGCGTGCGGCGAATTTAATTTGGACTTAGACTGAATCAGATCAGATTTAATTTCAATGGCACTCTCTCTGTGCGCGGGCTTGGCCCGCGCCCAAGAGCGCGCGCGAGGCGCGCGCCCACAGAACATGCATGTATTCGTCGTCGCGCGGCGGCAATTTAGTCAGTGGAGTCGTCATTGAATCAACGCGCTACGACTCAGACTGCGTTGGCCCATGCAGGGGTGGCTTGGGGCGACGACGTTACGGAGGACCAGCAGCTCCGCACGCGGTTTCTTTTGATCGTCGGGTGACTTTAAATTAAAATGACCTGGCAAGGCGGAGGTGACAGCTGCCCACACGAGTCACTAACTTTAAGGGCTTGACCATCATCAGCGTCTGCCTGCCGAGTTCGAAAGCCAGGGGCCATGGCAGCTACGCCTCGTCGTCGACAGTCGATGACACGGCCCACTCCGCGCGCGCCGCCCTGGACCGGCGTCTACGGACTCGGACGGCCACGTTGTCAGGGCCAGGGAGTCAAGATGACAATGATGATGACGACTCACTGACGCCAATTTTAATTGTCAGTCGGCAGACATTGGAAAAAACGTCGCTCCGACAGTGTCACTGTTCTAGTCGTTGTAAACTCAGGCTGTCATTCCGTCACTGTCACTCACTCAGTGTCAGGCTCAAGCACCGGGCTTCGCCATTTTCGTCGTCGTCGTCGTCGACCGCCGCCGAGGCGCGGCGGGTGTGGGTGGGTCGGGTTCGTCGTCGCGTCGCCGCCGCCGCGGGTTGAATATTAAGACCCGGGTCTAAGGACCCGGGCGACGGTCTACGGACCCGGCCGGGTGTCTACGGACCTTTAAACCGGATGTCTACGGACATTTACCAGTCGCCGGTCTACGGACTCGGCGGGGGTTATTATACCATTCAGTGATTGCGTCGTCTTATTTCCGGGTAGTCATTGTCGTCGTCCTTCGTCGTCGTCGTCGTCGTCGCCGCCGCCGCTGACAGGCCATGCCGACTCACGACCGTCATCGTCGTCGTCGTCGACGACATGACGACCATAGACGAGAACGAGGCAGCCGAGACCGCCGACACGACGGAGACCGCGACCGCCGACGGCGTCACAATGTCGACGAGGACCAGGACCAGGCCGACGACGACGGCAAGCCGACGCTGACACCTGCAGCACCGCCTGCGGCCGCAGGCCCGTCTGAGTCTGCCGACACCGCCGCCGCCCGCTACACCTCGCTGCACGCCGACCCACGCCGCCGCAGCCACGCTAACTTGCCAGGGCCGAAACGACGCGCCGAAGTCGTTCCGTCGTCGTCGTCGTCTGACGACGACGATGACGACAATGCTAAGATTGCCGACGGCGGCGGCTAAGGCTGAGGCTGCCGCGGGGGATACTAAGGACGCTGGCACTGATGATGGTGATGCTCCGTCCAAGGACGGCGGCGGAAACCATCCCGCTGCCAAGTCAGAGCCCGCCGCTGGTCACGACGACAAGACGTCGGCTTACGAGTGTCAAGTGTGTGGCCGACGAGTTGGGGGTGGTCAGGCCGGCCACTACCAACATGTCAGGTCAGCCTTTCACCTGACATGGCAGCTCTGGAACTCCGGCAATTTTAAAACCTGGCAGCAAGCCATCGGCCCGAGCTTTCCAGTGAGCGTGGCTGAGCGCAGCAAGTCGGGCCTTCCCGTGCCATGTCGAAGGAGCGTGGCACACGGCTGCCCGCCATCGAGCTGCAGCGTATCGGATCTGATCCGATCGAATGTCTGGAGGTCCAATCGGACCTGGTGTGGCGGTGCATCGGCTTGGACCACGAGCTGATGCACTTTGTTTGCTATGGGCCTCGACGTGTCTTGGATGAGCCCCTCGCTTTAGATGCCACAGGTTGCCGAAGCTTCCCGGTCTTCTCACCTAATGGGCCCGTGATTCCAAAGATGTTGGACATCTTCGCTGGTTCAGGTGCTGTTAGTCATGCCTTGAGGACGCTTGGCTTTGACACCATTGCCTCGGTGGACTTAGGTGAGCTTGCTTGCCAGAACCTTCGGAGCCAAGCGTGTGGAATCACCGTCCAAGGTGACATTCAGGACCCCAAAGTCGTTGAATTGTTGCATGACACCCTCACCGCCTCCGGGGTTGAAGGGTTCTGCGTTGCAGCTGGCTTCCCATGCCAGCCCTTTTCGAGGCAGGGGATGATGTCAGGCTCGGCAGATGCCCGTTTCGGGGCCTTCGTAGGACTCATCTCGGCCGTTCGATTTCTCAAACCCAAGCTCCTGATGCTGGAATGCGTGACGCAGGCGGGAGAAAGCATGACCATCAAGCAAATGTTGCAAGAACTTTGCGAAAACTTCGGCTGGGTCATGAGGGATGTCTGCCTTGAGCTTGGCCAGCAATGGCCTATAAACCGTAGGAGATGGTACTGTGTCATGTCAGACCCGCGCAATGTTCCTGACAGTCTTCCGGGTTGGGGAATTGACCCCTGTCGACAAACCATCGGTGACGTTTTGCCATCTTTTTTGTCCATGACACACCCGGGCATGGATGAGCTGCTTTTGAGTGAGCTTGAAACTGAATGCTACTCTGACCCACGGCTTGGTCACGACAAAAGACAGTTGACCTTAGATGACAAATGCAACACAATACTGCATTCATACGGCTCACCATTGCAAAGCTGCCCGTGTGGCTGCAGGCAGTCAGGGTTTGCAATTGCCAGCCTGGTTACCAAGGGGCTCAGGGGATGTTTCGTGATTTACCCCGGAGATTCCAGGCCTAGGGATTTGCACGCCGATGAGCTTAGGCTCTTGTTTGCACTCCCACCAGGAATGAAGCTGCCTGAGAACCAGAAGGAGGCACTTTGCCTGATTGGTCTTATTGCTGCGCCGCTGCAAGTGCTCTGGGTCATGGGAAACGTGCTCTTGGCAGCTTCGAAATATGATGAAAACATTGCTCCCATTGATCCAAGCCTCATCCTGCACGAGTACAAGGAGCGCATTCTTGCTAGCACGCAGCCACAAGCACCGAGCTCTTTGCATCTCATCAGCTTGGACCAGATCGGACAGCCTTCGTGGACATGCAAGGTCACGCATGAAGCCACGGTTTTTGACCTCTTGCGAGCAGAGAGAATCAATAATGAATGGGGACATAAGGTCCGTGCATTTGAGGACTCAGGGGAAATTCCTGGTTTTGATTTGCTGCTGGAGCATCAACATGGCACGAGGATTGAACACTTGGCCAAGAAGAGCAAGACTGACCTCCACTCTGCCCGCATCCTTTTGCAGTTCAAGATTCGTGGCACCAGCCGCATTGCACTACTGCCCCGTGGGAGTATGCTTTTTGAGTTCTTTGACCAAATCGATGATCAAAGACCCACAGCATTGGTCAATCTCACTGGTGATGTTGTGCCTTTGGACACACGGATCTGGTTTCCAGGCAGCTATGTGGCCGTCGACACAGATTCATTTCCATGTTGGCCTCTTCTCTTCCAGTTGGAAGGTAAGGGAATTTCGCAGAATGAGCCGTTGACATCAGGCTGGTATGAAGAAGAGGAGGAAAACTACACTAGTCATCTTCTGGAGCAACAAGGTCTGGCACTAGATCTTTTCTGGACGGCACGTTGGATAGTTGACACGGTTGAGATCTGGCCACATGCCGCACATCAGAGGATCCTAGACAAGTGGGCCCAAGGTGGCTTCGACCAGGACCGTCGTTTTGGCATCCTATGGGAAGATTTTCATTGGAGTGCATTCCTCATCATCCAAAAGAACGGGCATCTCTTCGTGACCATCCTAGATAGCCACAAGACAGAGGCTACGGCATACATGGATCTCTTCTTCGCCAGGGTCAGCCGAGCTCTTTCATGTGCCAGCTACACAATTCAATTGAAGCAGGGAGTCGGACAATCCCACGGAACACATTGTGGAGCAGTTGCAGTGCTTAACATTGCTGGCTTTCTGGACCATACTCTGCACTTCAGCGAGCAAGATGCCATTCTGCTACACACTGAGATTTTGGAGCAGAGAAGTACCAGTTCCAGCCAGCTGTCGCTGGCATTCATCTCGCCTACCCTCACGTGGCCGATGATTGGAGCAGGTCCAGACATTCAGACCCAGCTTGCTGAGTTGATACATCAAAAAGGAGTTCCTGAAGAGGCCAAGATTGCCAGGGCCCAGACAATCCTTCAGAGGCTCGGCATTCCTCAGGTGACTAAGATCCTTGCAGATCGAAACCCGTGGGCTGCACTCAAAAGCTCCGCCAGTAAGCCGGGGGTCTCCCTGCGAATCCTGTCGGAGGAAGAAAAGAATCAGTACATTGAGATGAGAGCCTCAACCAAGCATGGTGCGAGCATCAAGAACCACAAGGACAAGAAAGAGAGGGCACAGGCTTCCTCCTCGAAGACCGACGTCACCGATAAGCTCATCCCTTCGCAGCTCGTCCTGGACCCCAAGATGTTCAAGGACGGCAACGGTGACCAGATACCACAGCTTCAGTTTTCACAAGTTGAAGCGGACCAGCACGGTCTAGCTATTTGCACCTTGAGTGAGGCGGCTGCCTTTCTCAACTCGCCCAAATCCATCAGCCCGCATGCACTGGGCTTGCTGATGCTGGAACCACCAGCTCCAGAAGTCATGCAGAAAGCTGGAGCGGTCAAGATGCGATTTCCTGCGCAATACATGGTGACAGGTGAGCAAGTCTTGATTTTCGGGGCCCTCCTGAGTATTGGCGACATTGACATAGACAGAGCCACAGCTGGATCGGTCTCCAAGCAGCCAGTCTTGCCGACGGCGATCATCAAATTTACCTGCTACCGAGATCAATATCCTGGAAGCTGGCAACATTTCACTGAAGCACCAGTCAGGGAAATTCTCAAGATGTTTGAGCCGCTGAACTATTGTGACGGCAAGAATTGCGGCTCGGCTTGCAACAAGACTCATCCAGACGTGGATCATACATATGAAGCGGTGATCCTGGAACTTTGGGGCAGGCACTACACGGCAGCCACCGGGGCCAAGAAGACGCCAAAGGAAGCTGACTTGTTTTCCTTTCAAGTGAGGGTTCCCGCTGCCATTGTGCTCACATTGGTCTCCAACAACCCGACAGGGCTCTATAGCGATCCTCGCACAGATGACTTTCGTGTATCACATCCTGAATACTGCGTTATTTGGCTCAACAAAGCTGGTTTCACGCAGGTTGAACACCTGAGCCGCACATGTGCTTTTGCCCTCTCCATTGCTAGGCATCGACAGCGATTTGGCATTCGAGTCAAGAAAAGCGATGAAGCAAAGGCCTGGGCACAGCTCAAACCGGATCAGCACTTTCAGCCGGTGAAGATCGAGCAGATCTACGAGGTATCACCTGTGCCTCACGGAACACGAAAGAAGACTATGGAGAAAGTCATGAAGGAATGGAACTGGCCTTGTCGGGTGCTTCAGCCTGGACGAGGTTCCCACTTCCACATGTCATGGCAGGTAGGGGCACAAGAGGAGCCTCCAGCCCGAGTGATGCAGGCCTTTCAGTCTGATGTCCTGATCAACCCCATCCGCAAGGTCGAGGTTGAGGCGCTCAAGCCAAAGATCATTGTCCCACAAAAGACTCAGCAACACTTTCGACAGGTGAATGTCAACAAACCTGAAGGAAACGATCCTTGGCTGAATAACAATGATCCTTGGGCACAGTATCAGGCCTCTAGCTCAGTTGCTGCTCCGCTACCAGCGCCTGCTTCTACGAAACGGATCGAAGAAATCAAGGGCACGCTCCAGCAGGAGGTCAAGGAGGCCATCCGGAAAGAGCTTCAAGCCGGACATGCTGGTGAGGGCATGTCTGATACAGCTTCCGGCCGCATGGACCACCTCGAGTCATCTTTGCAGGAGGTCAAGAGCCAGAACAGTGCAATCAAAGGATGGATCCAAGATGCTCAGACCAAGCTGAACAGGCAAGAGGCGCAGCTCACGCAGTTGAAGCAAGAAGTTGGGGCTCAATCGGAGCAGATGAAGACACAGTTCTCCAACTTGCAAGGAGAGCTGAACCAATCTTTCGAGAAGCAATTTAGCAGGCTTGAAGCCCTGCTTGAGAAACGCCAAGGTCATGAATGACTATTGCAGACCGGCAGCGCTCCTCGACTGGGACGCTGGCCGGGTTGGTTGAATCAGTCACTTCATGCTCCGCATCCCAGTTGTCAGTTAGCCCAGGACGGGTCGGGTCCCATGTCTGAGACCGCTGGTGTACCGTCTGATCCACGCTGGGTTAACTGGCAACGACTCTCAATCTCAACCATGATTGAACAGTGCGATTCACAGAGTGGTATCACGCACACACAGTTTGGGCAAGCTGATGGAGGTGACCCGGATAGCACGCCTCAGCCGCACCACAAGCGACCCGGACAAGGCCGCCAATCCTCTCGGACCCTACCAGAGGTCCCAATAGTTAGACAATTTCAAAAGTTCCTTTTTTGGATCTGTTTGCTCTTCACATGGGGTGAAGCCATCGCAGTTTCATGTGACGGCTCGGTGGAGACAGTACCCGCGCACCAAAACCCTGTAAATACTGTGGGTATGGCC